GATCCCCAAATAGAAAAATCACATTTTTATCTCTGATGTTATAAGGAGCTTTGTAAACTTTGTTTTTGTTTTTCCATGCCTCAAACTGGACTCCAAGATGAGTTTATTTGCCAGTGGCTGCCAGGGTAGGCTGGGAGGCCCTCAGCAGTCAAAGGGCCTCACTTGATATCATACTCTTTAACAACTTCATATCTGGGTACACTGAGCATTATTGCACACAAAGGTGACAAAACAGAAATTTATATTGCACTATGAAAAAAGAATACATGTTCTTTACTGTCTATCACCTAAGTGGATGGGGAAAACGCTAGCCTAAAGCTGAAGCCTGAGCTGGAAATGTGGTACTCAAGGAGAATCCATCCCATTGAAAAAGGAAAAACTATAACTTACACTACAGAAAAAAAAAAATAGGACAGGAGCCACTCAACAGGTGAATGACTCAACCATGACATCTGGGACCCACAATCCAAACTTTCACTGTCGCACCCAACCAAAAATTAACTTAGTAGGCACTCCTAGATGTTGGCCTTATCCAATCATTTAAAGCCTAATTTGAACAAAGATTGGCAGTTCCTGTCACCAATAAGAAAGAATCTCTGTTCTCTAATGGGAACAGTGGCCTTTTTTCTGCCATTGAACCTGAATGCTATCCCACAGCTTCCTGGGTCTCAAGGCTGCCATCCTTCATAATAGCGCTCCACCATGTAGAGCACACGAGCCAGCCAAAGATGGTGCTGAGATGGGCAAGTCCTGAGTTGTTTGCAAAAAAAAAAAGATGATTGGTTGCCTAGGTTGAACCAGATCACTGCATGAACAGCTCATGTTTACTAGGTAAAGCATAGGGTGCCTAGGTGCATGATAGACTGACCTTTAAAAACCATTAGCTGGCTGTCTTCCACCTCTAAGGTTTGTTTTTTTTGTTTTATTTTTTTGTTTGTTTGTTATTTTGCTTTAGAAGATGCTTGCTGTGGGACAATAAACGAGTTCCTGGCTTGACTAGACTCCCTGTTGTATCTGTTTGTCTCTGGGATTCTGGGAGGCTAGGAAATGGGCGAGAAGAGCACTTACCCTTCCTCAGACCCAGCTCAGCCTTCTGTGATTGGGCTAAGACCCTGCACACCACACATGGATTCCTGGGTCTCGAGGCTGCCAGCCATCAGAATATCACTCCACCACAGGTTCTTAGGTCTTGGACTCAGACTTGAATGACACCCAAGCAGGTATCCTGGGTTCTCAGCTTGCCCACTTGCCCTACAGATCTTGGAACTTATTAGCCCTTTATAATCACAGAAGTCAATTCCCTAGAATGAATCTATAGAGTCATGAGTCACTGCTCAGTCAATGACAGGCCACATATATGACACTGGTCTCAGAGGAGTATGTTGCCTATTAAGCCGACAGTCATCTTTGTTTGTGCAAGCACTTACTATGGTGTTTGCATAATGAAATAGTCAAACAACCCATTTATTAGAAGCAGTGTGTGGCAGTGTTTGCATGCACCTTTATCTGCATACACACCTTGTGGGCTGTCTCATGCTGGAAGACTCACCCTCTCCCCACCCCTCTCTCCATGAGACATGCTTGTCTAATGCCTGCCCTACTTTCTCCCTCCAATACAACATGACCCAGCCACACTTCCTTCCTCTGCTGGACATCTGTCCTCTAGAGCAAAGAAATGGGAGGAGATGAAGGGAAACCATAAAGCCAATGAGGAAGCCATGGTCCTGAGCCCTTCCGCATCCCTACCGTGTTCGTTTCTACCTGTGATCTGTATTAATATAAAAGTAATGGCTCAAGAACAAAGATAGAAATCACCGCTAGGTTTAGTACTCATGAAAGCTCATAGCATATGCAAATGTATCTTTGACAGGAAAGTATTTTTCAGCAAATTTTTTTTTCTGAAAAGTTATATCCCACACTATTTAAATCTATCTTAAAAGTTATTCATATTATTCAATGAAATTTTTCTTTTAAGAGTATTATAAAAGAGTCAATGGCTGAGGGATATATAGTCTTGATTCTTATATTCACTTCTCAGTATAAGTATAAAAGAGTTCTTTGGAGGAAATTCTATTTAGATTATACTTTCAATTCTAGGGGCTCTCAGCATTTCTAAGGCTAAAAATCAAAGGCCGACAGCACGACTGTAATTGCTTTTTAATAGTTCTCCCTTCTCATAGAAGTGACCTTTCTTACCAGCTCAAAATTCTAGACCTGAGAGAAAGATCAAAGTGACGTATTTCCCATTTTAAATGTCACCTTTGGAATATCTCCTACAGACTTGGCTACCCAGGAGAGAGAGAATTTAAAATACCTGAAATTCTTTCAATTGACTCTTGGACTCAATCACCTGTAAAGATTATTTAACCCCAACTACTTCAATGGCTTAAAGTAGATTATGTCATACCCAACTCGGCAAGGCAAAGTAATGAGACCCTTTTTCAAAGGCAAAGTCCCATTTCCATAGTCGTGTGGGAGGAACACACTGCGTATTCTATTCAGCTGGATGGACTAAGGTGCAAAACGGGAATAAAGGGCTTCTCTGTGTGAAAGGATTAAACAAATCACATGAGTTAATGAAAGCTAAAACATCCAGCAAAAGTTTAAATGCCATTTGTTCAAGAACAAATTATTCAAAAGCAGCTAACGAACATCATGAGAAGGTAGGCAGTCGTCAAAATAAGTAGCCTGACTTCTCTAATTCTGGATGGTGGCGCACAGACTCACCAAGATGGCAAAATCTCTCTAATGTGCGTCAGAGAGAGGCAATGATGGCAAGCTAGCCAGGCTTCAGAAAAGGGGAATTTCTGCCTGCACACACGTAGGATTCCTTCCCCAAGATCTTAAACAGCAAATTTTCCTTCTGGAAGGTTCTAGTCTTAGAATTATTAAAGGCTTATCTAATTGGATAAATTAGTTGGGGTGAAAGATATTTAGTACTTTTAGATTAAGGAATAATTTTCTTACCAATTCTTCAAAATTCTAATTGCCCCCCTTATCGTATTAAGACAAAAAAAAAAAAAAAACCCAGGAAGCCAGAACTTCCTAATTCAAACCAGTGAAGGGAAAAGAGTAAAACACTTTGCAGAACCTCGAAATTCCTCGGTCTCATGCGTGAGGGAAATCCTAGTGCTATGGGTGGAATTTTGAAATGAGAAGTATCTGGGATAAAAGACAA